TTGAGCCCAGGAGTTTGAGGTTGCTGTGAGCTAGGCTGATGCCATGGCACTCTAGCCCGGGCAACAGAGTGAGACTCTGTCTCAAAACAAAAAACAAACAAAAAAAAACAATCATTTCAAATCATTTTGCTTTCAGTTGATGATCCAAAAAATTTAGCTGAAATATATATATACACATAATCACAACATTCACAACCTTTTGGATTTGTAGTGGTTCAGGCCACACTGATTAAAGCAAGTGATTTTATAATCCAAAAGTCTTTAGAAGCCAATAAAGTTGTGTTCACAAACATGTGAAAAGAGCTAGGGTTGGTCTTTACTTTAACCATTGAAATTCTCCAGATCTGGAATAATAAGCAAAATTGAACACAGTTCAGGATAGAGATTCTTTGCCTTGGTTCCTGTGGATCGATATCGTGTTTGTCACGAAGCTTTTGGCAGACCTACTCTTCTTTCTTTCCTCTCTATATTGACAATTGCAAATTGAAATTGCTAAACCATCACATAATAGAGCTGACCTCTCCAATGTCATCTTATTCATGAAGCAATTCTACCTTTAGCTGATTGGCCCACCTCATGCTTAATCAGTACAGAGAAAGGAAAGGAGAAAAGTTATTAAGACAAATTCGGGTTGTGTGTTATTCAGCTAGGTTGAAGGATTTTCTTTTCTGGAATGGTGGGCAGGTTTCTTGTTTCCCATTATCTACTAATATTTTTGAGAATTAGAACACTAGTGGCATGCACGAGTTGTCCCAGCTACTTGGAAGGCTGAGGTGAGAGGATTGCTTGAGCCCAGGAGTTAGAGTCCAGCCTGGGCAACATAGCAAGACTCCATCTCTTAAAAAAAAAAAAGCTAAGCTAAACTAAAAAAGAAAGCTTTTTAAAGAATTAACTGAAAGTATCCCAGGATTATCTTTTTTTTTCTTTTTTGCTCTGTCCCATAGACTAAACTAGACTCACTACTGCTGAGCCTGGGGTGAGGCATGCTTTATATGCTCACAAGGCCTGCTGCCAAGGAGAGCTCTGCACAGCCAGCCCAGGGAGTGGGTGGTACTCGTGGTCTGTTAGCTACTAATGCTCAACCCTGACAGTGCCAAGAGAATGATCAAATGAGGGGAATGTAGTGGCCCTGTACCAAGCACATTAATTTAATCCACTTTAAGGGAGAAACTTTTTAAACCTTAAAAGAGTTTTAACACCATGATAATTGGTTATCAGTTTGGATTAGAGAACAAGATTAAGCATATTAGAGTGAAAAGCTGAGGTTTGATTTAATAAGCCATTTTTAGTTTGCCTCAATTTATTCTCTACACTGGACCTCATTTGCCTTTTTTACTGAAATAGGTGACCCCCCTGTCTCAACAGCACAGTTCTCAAATTCTACCACCTCAGTGCTGGCCACTCTTGCAGCTCTTGCTGAGGCATCAGCCCCCGTCTCCAATTCAAACAGAGCCACAGGTAGGTAAGGGATATCTGGTGGGTGAATCACTGTTTCTTCTTTTGTTCTTAAGTCTCCAGCAGATTTAATTTGCATGAAATATTAAAGAATTGTAGTTAATTAGAGGCAGCTAGGAAAAAGGGATGTAGAGTCATTAAGCATAGAAAGAAAAATCACTAAGTGATAAAATCAGACAGCTGAATAATATTAAATAATGACTGTGTAATTCCTTTGTATTTTTATAGTTTGAAGTTTGTTTGCCTTGACTGCAGTTGCTTCAGATTGAAATGTTTATTCTTATATTAGCAGACTTTTTGGAGATACTCTATGTTATGTTTTGACTGATGCTATCATAGAATGATTCAAAATAGCAGCCTAGATATCTTGTATTAAAGTATCAAAATACATGGAACTGCTACCTTTCTGATTATCATATCCTGTGTACTTCAGGAGAGCTTGCTTTTTATTTTCACTGGAGATGTTCTTTTGGCATTTCCAATGGAGTTGGGCAGACATATGCTATATGGTGCCCTTTTGATATTTAAAACAAAAAGGTTTCAAGTCACTTAGCCAGACCTGGTGATCTATGGGGGAAAAGCTTAGGGCTTCACATATGTAGGGGCAAACAGGCAGGACTCAGTAGTCATCTAGAAATCTTTCTGGACTACCCCTGGTAGTCTGCTGCATTATAAACGAAAGCGGATTGTTCTGATATCTTTCTGCCATTGACATTTGGGTGGTGAGAACATTCTTCCAATTCCAATCCTATTTTCCTGACTGGCAGTAATCATAAAGATCTCTACACAGATATGTATGAGTGAACAACATGACAGAGGAAAAAACAATGTATTAAACTTGTCCTTGCTGTTCTTTTGGTTTGCTCTTTGATCTTGGATAAATCACTTAACTTCTCCAGGTTTACTTTTCCTCATCTCTGGCATGATGGTTGGATTAGATTATCTGTCAAGATTCTTTCAGCTATAACATTTAACTGTTCTTTGTTTCTAAGAGCTGTGAATGCTTTATTTGCATTGAACTACCTAAATGTGTCTCATATAGATGGTACATACCCCACTTATTATTGCAGAGTTCTACCTGTGACTCCTTAGATAGAGTAATCCCATAGTGGTAGGAATTATTTCCCCTAATAGTGCTTAGTTTATTAGGATATTGACTAACCAAACTGAAAATCTTGATTCAACATAATACATGTAAAGCTCATAGGCAGGTACCTGGCACATAGTATATAGTTGGTAAGCATTAGCTGTTATTAATATTATTCTTGATCTATCAGATGGGAAAAGCCACCTACCATTTTTTGTCTGTCAAACTTCAGTGTTTTGACTACTTGACATAATATTTTGTTACTTCACAATTAAATATACCTGTTTTCTTATAGAAATGATCTTCTCT